TTATTATTTTCACTGTTTAATGACTTAAAATTCATGGTTAGCTTCCCCAATAAGTCATACTAGGCCAAAAACACTGTCAAATAAAGTAGCCCATTTTGTTGATTTTAGCTATGGAACTTTGTTTTTACTTTTATTTATGTTTCAATTTAGGTGCTTTACCAACCGAATGTTAAATTAACGTAATGTTGATGTGGGTGTTGGTTGCAAGTCCCTTTCCACTTTTGAATTTAGATAACTAGATATCGTACAATGGTGGCAATCACTATAATACAAGTACACTACACTTCTTACTATATTCCATCATTTATTTTTAATCTAAGTCGATTATAAACAATTCTCAAACAATTTTAATTGCATCATCAACATGATCTTCCAGTTAATAGCTACAGAAATGTTGCCTTGTAGACAAACTTGTCGCTTGAATGTTCTCAAATCTTTTCATTTTTAGCGCAATTTGTCCTTTTGATGAATTCCGTACAAAATAGCCGTTAATCTTTATGCATTAAATGTTGGAATTATTCTAATTGTACAATCATATTTTACAACTTGGTTGACAATTGATGAAGTGTGGAGATCCACACCATTGATTAAAAAAATAGTTTTTAAAATGTGTGGTAGGAATTTGTGCCAACTCAATGATTGTAAACCAAATTGTAAAATAAATTGTACATATAGCATGCTTCTTAAATGTTGTTGACTGATTCTCAGGGAGAAAGACCCACTACTATCAATATCGTGATAATTGATTCTTGATGGATTAAACCATAAATTTTGTTCATACACTCGAAAAATGAGAAGAATATTTCAACAACCGAGATTGAGATTTAGTGAGTCTACCTGGATTAAGAAAAGTCGTTGGGAGTATTAGTGGTGGTGAATGGGTGGTGGGGGCCGTCTTTTAAGGGTTGGATAAGTTTTTTATACATAAAATATGTATATAGGGATGTCCACATTACTCACATGGGGTGGAGCACACCTTGCGTGTGTCTCACCCCATGTGAGGGGTGTGAACACCCCTATGTACCCAAATTATGTACATCAAGTACAACTCTCGAGAGTTTGGGTTGGGCTAGCAGGCTGAGGTTTGAATGTTGGAATTAAATTGAGGAAGATGAAGATTTCATCTTTCTAAATATTCTTTTCATTATGTGGATGAATTTTATTTTATTTTATTTTTCTCTTTTTTAATAAAAACTTGCTTCTGAAGTGGGCCAGTGGAAGCAATTAAGAATCTATTCATTAGTTTTAGTTACCCTTTTTAAAATAAAATTGATCAAATGAAAAGTCCCTACGTTATCCCCGTCCACACCTGCATCCATGCCACAACGCATTCTCAATAGTCAATAGTAAACCGAAGTCGATTTTGATCTAGTTGAAATTTTATTTGGTCAGGGTCGAATTTAGCAATTGAAAAGAAGGCCTTATGCGACAAGGACCCACTGATTTTCGGTAGATTTTGATATGTTAAGAAAGAAAATACAATAATAATATTTAAAATTAAGTGTCAGCTAATCGGATCGTCTTGCCTTCTTCCAGACTCGATTCAAATTTGTTGCACGTTGAACCGTCTCGTCAAAAAATATAGCCCGAGTGTCTTCCAACCATGCTGACCCACGGACCTTGCAAATATTTCGAGCCACTCCAACCCTCACCATTCTATAACGTTTTAGTTTATTAAAAATCTAATAGCTAACAAAATAAATATTCATTTTGATGTGTTTGAAGATTACATTTCTATAACTCCAACCCTCACTGTTTGAAGATTTGCACGTAGAGTTTATTAGTATTAAAAGATCCATCTTTATTAAAATAAAGTTGGCAGAGATTGCTTGAGAAATGTAGGAGAAAAATGAGTACTTGTAGCCACATACTCTTTTTAATTTTATTTAATCATATACTTAAAGGTTGACCCCAATCTTGAGGGCCCCATCGTCCCACCCCTAGAGTTTCGTGAGGAAGGTAAATCGCGGGATGTGCTCCAGCAGGTTAGGGAACAAGAGTTGCATGTACACTGCACCTACAAGAAGTTCAATTCCATGTTTTATTTAATCGTATACTTTTTAATAAACCGGGTGGCTGGATTGTTCCTCGTGGATTGGCGAGCTAGATAATCAAACCCAATCCTAATCCATGAACCAGGCCGTTCATTATGAGGGAGTCGGGAGCAGTGAACCAGTTCGAACTAAATAATGCAGGACTCGTTCAATCTGGTTTTAAGTGAGGAGGGTTGTCCAAGGCGTGAGCCACCCGGGTGATTTTGAATCCTTCCAACACAATCTTGTTTGCCTTATATACTACTGTCTTTCAACTCTTGGTTTGCATAGTAGTAGCCTCGATTAAATGCGTGCATTATTTATTCTATGAGATCGTACTGATTGCTCAATAATTCTCTTTCTTAAAACTGTTGAGAGCGTCTAATTCAATGTTTTGAATTTTTGAAGAAGGTGGTGATGATGAATAGAAACACCCTTTTTCGCGTCCTCCTCGACACAGATACCAGCATCCTGACAAGTAATATCAAGAAAACAGGCAGCACCAGTTCTAAATATGGATCAGATGTGAATTTGGACAGCAATTTGGTGATGATATTAGCAGCCTTGCTGTGTGCACTTGGACTAAACTCGATTGTAAGTTGCCTTATTCGATGCAGTCAAAGATTTGGGGTCGAGACAGCAGCAGAAGCAGCTGCAGCATCAACAGGTCTCAAGAAAGAAACTTTGGGCCGGATTCCGTTGGTGGTTTACAAATCAAGACTGCTGCCAATTTGTATTGGAGAATTCCGAGTAAGAGAATTGAAGAATATTGCCAAGAATAGACAAACATTCTGCTGAAGATTAGAAACAGTGATGACCCAAACATATTTAGTGAGCGTTTGAGCCATATTATTTTGGAAGAATGTATTTTAAAATAGTAGATTGATGGAGAATGTGTGGTTAAAAAATGAAAAAAAATAAATAAATTTGGATTTACGTATAATATTATTTTATTAAAGAATGTGTGGTTAAAATGATGTCAAATCACTGTTTAAGAAATATATATATATATTTTTAAAGAATGCGACTCAAACAGGGTCTAATACCTAGTTGGAAAATAAACAAAACCAACGTCACCAATTTATGAGGTCGGATAAATGCAGTAATTCGCGAAGAATTAAGTCATTTGTACTTGTTTGTTAACACTTTAGGTTGGTTAAAATGATGTCAAATCACTGTTTAAGAAATATAAATATATATTTTTTTAAAGAATGCAACTCAAACAGGGTCTAATACCTAGTTGGAAAATAAACAAAACCAACGTCACCAATTTATGAGGTCGGATAAATGCAGTAATTCGCGAAGAATTAAGTCATTTGTACTTGTTTGTTAACACTTTAGGTTATCCGACTCCACCACTCCTCTCACATGAGGTCGGATCTCATGTGGGGGTCATGACGTGGGGTCCAACCCCCATGTGAGAGGAGAATGTGGGTTCGAGTAAACCAAAGTGTGAACAAACAAGTATAAGTAACATGACTCATTCGCGAAAGGGGAGTAGGAAAAACAACTGTGATTCGAAGACATTCATAAAAACAATTCTGTAGTTTAACTCAAAGCAAAAACAACTGTGATTCGGAGCCATTCAAGAAGACAATTCTGTAGTTTAACAAGTACAATAATACATATAACTATATATCAGTTCAAGTCGGTTCCAGATTCACCATCTTCACCCTTGTTCTTCTGCTCGACGTCTCCAGACAAGATATTCCCCTCATCCACGATACATTCACCACTCTCACTCGCAGTTCGGGAGAGTAAATCAGGCTCTGAGCTTGGGAGTTCGTTCTTCTGTAAACCTGCCCCGGATGGAATGTCAGCATTTTTTATTAGGGTTGCCAAGCTCATTCCGGCTGCCTCAACTAGTTCATTTTCACGATCTGGATGGCAAGATTCACCATCTTCACCCTTGTTCTTCTGCTCGACGTCTCCAGACAAGATATTCCCCTCATCCACGATACATTCACCACTCTCACTCGCAGTTCGGGAGAGTAAATCAGTCTCTGAGCTTGGGAGTTCGTTCTTCTGTAAACCTGCCTCGGATGGAATGTCAGCATTTTTTATTAGGGTTGCCAAGCTCATTCCGGCTGCCTCAACTAGTTCATTTTCACGATCTGGATGGCAGTTCAAGTCCAATTGTTCCTTGCTGCCATCGTCCAGGTCCATTGGGTTTGTGTCCTTACCTTTTTCGCTTTCCGGAAGATTCATCTGCAGCAATGCGTGCCCAGCAATGTCATCGTCTTCTGATTTAAGGTCGACTTGAGTCTCATCCTTTCCGAGGACAAGCTCAGCTGCAAGTTCTGATTGGCGTTGTTTCTTACGCAACATGAGCGTCTTGAAACGTCGTTTAACAGTCAAACAAACGTTGCACTCACACGTAGGCTCGTGCTTACCTTTTCCACTGGGAGGCTGAATGCAGACAATGCAAGTGCAACCTGGGCGATGTCTGGGATGTTTCGTAGTGGCTCCAACTAATGACTCTGCTAAGTCATCCATGTTATCTCCCAAAACTGCAGCAGTTGCCAATGCATCCAACCCTGAAGGTTCTCCATCTTTGGATGTTTTGTTATCTGCACCTCGTCGCCTCTTAGATTCTGAAAAAAGCAGTTGTTCAAGCAATGCTACATAAATTTATTGGTATTGAAAGTTGTATAAAAATTGAAAAACATAGAAAGGGGAACCGACCAATCAGAGAGAGAGAGGGGGAAGGGAGG